TTTTTTTTTTTTTTGCAGTTTTTGGCCAGGGCTGTGTTTGAACCTGCCACCTCCTGCATATGGGGCCAGTGCCCAACTCTTTTGAGCCACAGGTGCCGCCCAAGGATTTGTCCTTTTGTGACTATTATTTTTCAAAACGGCAGTACAGGTTTTTGGGGCAAAGAAATACAGATAAACACAAAGAACAAAATAAAAGCCACCACTCTTTCCTGTGTGCCCTTCTCTCTCAAATGGCCCTGGCTGACCCTTTAAGTCCTCACTTCTCTTTGTAGAAGTGAGATTTTTTTTTTTTTTTTTTTTTTTGAGACAGAGTCTCACTTTGTCACCCTTGGCAGAGTGCTGTGGCATGGCGTCATAGCTCACTGCAACCTCAAACTCTTGGGCTCAAGCGATCCTCTTGCCTCAGCCTCCTAAGCAGCTGGGACCACAGGCGCCCACCACAACACCCCCCTATTTTTCGAGACAAGGTCTCACTCTGGCTCAGGCTGGTTTTGAACCAGTGAGCTCAGGCAATGCACCTACCTTGGCCTCCCAAGTGCTAGGATTACTGTGCTCAGCCTAGAAGTGGGATTTCATGCATGTGCTGTTGCCCTCTTTCCTGAGCCACATGGTCCAACCAAGCTCAGTGCCCGACTGTCTGTGGGTACCGTGAGAATACTTTCCAAATGACACTGACCTCCAGGCTAAGTGCTGTGGCTGTCAGGACGGTCTGTAAGTCACAGGATGCACTCTCAGGCAGGGCATTGGTCAGAGCTGCTATTTAAAGGCTTTTGAGCAGTTGCCAAACTGGGGCCTTTTCCTGAAAATTCTTCTTGGAATCTCTCTTCCCACACCGCCCCTTCTGTTTGCTCAGCTCCAGGCTTCAGTGTCTTGAGTGCGGCTGAGCACAGAGCTGAAGACAAGGCGTCACCCCGCCAGGGCCATGAGCACTCCAGGGCCTCCCTGAACCAGGCATCAGGTAAGTGAGTGGCCCTGTGGTGGCTGTCCTGGTGCTCTGGGCTGGAGCCCCAGTGTGGATAGCACTGAGCTGAGCCCCACTCATAGACGAGGATGCTGAGGGTCAGAGAGGACCTTAACTGGAAAGGAGCCGCTTGAGGATTTAGAGCCAGCCTGCTGTCCCCAGGAACCTGTGCTCTAGCCTTCTGTCCCACTCCAGCAGGAAAGGATCCAGGTCGCCCCTGAGGTACAGGGGCACTGGGCAGGGGCCACTCCTTGCTGAGTTGTGCACAAAATAGCCAAGGTCTTTCCTGGGTAGTCACATGCTGGCCACAAGGGCAGATGGAGGCACTGCTTCCCTGTCTCACAGGTGTCCTGCCTTGCCTGGGAGGTGCTGAAGGGTCAGCAGTGGGGCTGCAGGGTCAGCAGTGGGGCTGCAGACTTCCAGACAGGTGGGGCAGCATCCAGGGGCCAAGGGCACTGGTGAGGCTGGAGTTGCTTGTGGTGGGATGTGAGCCTCACCACCTGGGCAGTGAGAGCTGTTTGAAGGCTTTAAGCATGGGGTGACAGTGAGCTTGGGCTTGGGTTGGTGTGGTTCATTGCAAGTGCAGGACGGCAGGGGAAGCTGTCTCTACAGTCCTGAGAGGTAGAATCTCCTGCAGGATACTAGAGATCCTGGGATGGGGGAGGGGTGGCTTGGGAGCAGAGGTGTCTCCAGGGCTCCCCCAGGTGCCCTGGATTCTCGTTCTCACTGCAAGGGAATCGTTTGGTTTTCCTTGGGGGAGGGGGCAGAAGGCAAAGATTGCCTTGTGCTCCAGTGGGCAGTACCCTTAGGCACACTTGTGTGTGTGTCCCACTCCATGTGGTGGGTGAGCCAAGTGCAGATGCAGGCCCAGGGGCTGGCCAACTGATAGCAGGGCAGGCCGCCTCCCGCCCAGCCCTGGCCTGCCCCATGGCCCCTTGACAGCTCCCCACCTGGCAGGCACCCCAGCTCTGTCCCTGTTCCTTTGTACTTCACAGCGAGTGTTCCTGGGGGGACTCCCTCCTCCTTTCAGGAGGACACCAGTGGCATCAGCTGGCCCAGCTAGTCATTGTCCCTGCTCCAGGTCCCTTGGGAACCTTGGTTGCCCAGGCCCATTGGTCACTGGCTCTTGACAGTCTTATTTTCATGCTCCTGGCTTTAGAACCCTCTAGAAGCAGGGCATGGAGGACAGCCTGGTGGTCTTGCTATGCAACTGTCCCCACCTCTTCTCCCAAACTCTCTGTCTTCCCAGCCTGAGACCCTCCCCATGAAGCACCGACTCCCCTCCCCACCCCCAGCCCCGGCACCCACCTTTCTGATCCTCGACTCTGTGGATCTGACGACCTGGGGACTCCATATGTGGTAGCATTTTCGAGGCCTGGGGCCTCCTGCCAATAGGCATGGGCCCGGGAGAACCAAGGGACAGATCAAGGCTGGACTGAGTGGTGTCTAGAGAGCTGGAAACATCTTTGGGCCAGAGTCCTCTCCCATGCACCCCAGCCCACGGGGCACCCAGTGCATAGAGCAGGTGCAGCCCCCTCCTGTAGCTCACTGGCTAGCTGGCTTTTTGGTGCTTCCTGGACAGCCCCACCCCAGAGGTCAAATGATGGCAGGAGAGATGACCAGAAGCCTCCAGGAGACAGTTCGCCCTGGCTGGCCACAGCCTTCACTGTAGGACACTGGGCAAACTCTGCCCCCTCAGGGTCTCCATTTCCTTCTCCTTCAGCCAGAGGGGGCGAACCTGTGCTTCCAAGTCCTCTCTACTCAGCCCTGGCCTCTCCTGGCCCTGGCCTGAGTGAGACTTAGTCCAGAGGCCCCCATGTCAAGCTTACTCAGGGCTGGACTGGGTCAGCTGTTCAGGGGATCAGCAGTCAGCTGTAGTACCCACGGCCTGGGCCCCGACCTGGGTGCTGGGATCCAGAAGTAGGAGGCTCCTTCCTATCCTCAGGGCCTCTGGGCCTGGAAGGAATTTGTGCACAGTCAAGTGCACTGTGAGGTGGGGGTGGCATGCTCAGCCCTTGGAGATGTGTCTGCAGGGAGCTCTCCAGGAGCAGAAGGGTGGGGGTGCACAGATGCGCCCTCAGGCCCTGTGCTGTCTGTCTGCCCTGGCATGCAGGACCAGCAAGCAGGACCCCCAGGGTTCACCGATCTCAGGTTGCATTGGCACTGGACTGGGGGTGGCTGTGTGGCATCTCTATACTCACCTCCCTCCCTTCCCGCCCCTTCTTTCTCCCTAGCAGAATTTCTAAGGGCAAAACCCAAAAGTAGCACAAGCAGCTCTTGCAAGAGAGAGAAGGGCCCTGCGTCACTGTCCCCCAGGAGAGCTGCCACAGACAAAGGTAAGGCCTGCTGATCTGAGGCCTCATCAGGGCTGGGGGCAGGGTTATGATCATGTTTGCTAGATGGGCAGGCGGCTTCTGTTTCTGGTGATAGAGATGGCCAGCTGTTCACAGCCACCTAGACTGCTATGTACACAGTGTTCTGGGGCACCTGGGAGCAGCAGGGGTCCAGCCTGAGTGTCAGTGTCACTGCTTCAGTAACTGGCAACCTGGGTCACCACTAGAGTGCAGGTGGCTCCTGGGTCACCACTGGAGTGCAGGTGGCTTCTGCCTGGGCAGGGGTGAGCCCCTGGTGATGAAGTGAGGGTCTTTTGACACTGTAGACCTGGTAAGTTTGTCAGGACAGGAGGCCACTTAGCCACACTGGCCATGTTCCCAGCTTGCTGCTCCTCTGATCGTTAGCAGATGCCTGGGAGGGTGTGTGGGCCAGCAGCGCCTGTGGGTCTGGACAACTGAGGTGTGTATTTCTTACACAGTGTCACTTAACAAGCTGAATAGCTGGTTGAGGGAGCTGGTTTCCTTGTCCAGCCTGGTCTGGGACCTAAAGTTCCAGGCAGTGAGCCCAGAGCACATGGTGGGAGGAAAGGCTGTGGGTGGTCCTGCTCTCTCCAGCACCTCTGGGGACTTGGACTGGTCACTGGGGCTGCATGTCAGCCTGGCATTTGTGTGACAACGAATTGCATAGATGTGTCCTGCAGAGTTCTGTTAAGTGGTTTGTCAGTGGTGACGGTCAGCTGTTACAGAGAAATTGTAATTTCAGGCGTCTCCTTCCCAAGGACTAGGCAGGGTGTTAGTGCCCTGCTAAGACTCAGCTGCCCACCTGGGTGCAGTTTTTGGAGCCTGTGGGATGAGCACACAGGTGCCCCTGCCCTCCTGGGGAGATCCACTCACCTCAAGGAAGGACTGGATGTGGGTGTGAACAACAGTGGGATGGAGCTGGGCAGAATCCTCTGGAGGCTTCCTTTGGACTGACTTCCAGGTCGGGGGCAGGACTGCTTAGTGACCGGCTTGCATGTGCCTGCGCTCTGCAGAGTCAGCTCTCACACTTCACAGTTCTCCTTGTGGATGAGGAAACTGAGGCAGGGGAGGAGGTGGTCAGCAGCATGCCCTTGGCCACATAGGCAGAGCCAGGGCTGGGCCCTGACCCATCCAGCTGCAGGCCTGTGCTCCTGACCTGAGAGCCCAGCCGTGTGTACCTAGGGCCATACCTGGGTGCCTTGTCAAGGCCCATCCTCTGGGCCTGGGCTCTAGAAACACCAAACCATGGGGTTTCTGAGACTCCAGCAAGCACCCCCCAGGTGGAGAGAACACTACTGACTGGGCTGAGGTCAGCTCCGTGGGACCCTCAATCTAGTGTGAGCAGCAGCAGCAGCCAGTGTGCCTCATTTTCCCCACACTGCCTGAAACCACAGTCTTGGCCATGGGACAGGCAGTGGCTGGTATGTGCTGTGTCCATGCTGGGGGCCTGTTTCTGTCCAGTACTGTGGGCACCCCGTCCTCTGCTCTCCTGCTCTTGGGCCAAGCAGTAGCTTCCACTGGAAAAAATAAACACCCACCTTCACCTTTTCTGTTCCCTCACTCAGCAGCAGGAATCATGTGAGCTGGAGGGCTCAGCAGGGCCACGTGGCCTTGGGTCAGATGTGTTTTTTCAACTGGGCCAAAGGAGATGCAGGAGAGGAAGGAAAACCTCCAGTGGGACCCAAGCGGGAGGGTCGCAGGGAGGCACCCGGATGGTTCTGGAAGGCCCTCTGCCAAAATATTAAATATAACAATTTCCTGTATCATTGTCCCTCCCTCCCCCAACCTTTTGGTTTGTTTTACTTTAATGGCTCGCTTGAAAAATGACCGGCTTTCTGCCTGACACAGGGTCAGAGGGCCTGCCAAGGGCCGCATTCATCATCGTAACCGCCGCGTCACCCTGGTGGTGTTGACCATTCATTTCTGTCAGTGACGAAGTCACAGCAGGCTAAGGAGAGATGAGTTGGGGTTCAGAGGTCAGAGCCACAGGACTTGGGAATTGGATGAATTCGAAATTTGCTGTAGTTAACAAAAAATTAAATCACAATAGTTATAAAATATTCATCCATTTGGGCCGAAGGAAAATGAAGCCCAATATTTAATTTCAGATTATACCACCTCACTTTGCATTTTTTATCATAGATTAGGCCAGCCCGGGAACTTTGACAGGGCACTTGGGGACTTCATCCGTTTCCACAGATTAAAAATCCTCTCGTAAAAAAATTAATTGCCATTAAACTGCTCAGTAGAAGAAAAAAATGTGCCCATTAGGACCCATTTATCGACTGGGACCCCTCTGGCTGGCTAAAGGGGAAGCTCAGCGGTGGTGATGGAGGGGCCTGGTGGGCAGCCCCCACCCAGGGCAGGGTCTCTGGTCGGCACTGTGAAGGGAGTAGGGCCAATTTTGTACTGGGGAACAGCTGTAGGGCAGAGCAGGGAGCCCCCGCTGGGAGCCTGACCCCACTGGGCCCACCCCCAACCCAAGTGTGGCTAGCTAGGCCATGCTGGCCTCAGCTTTGGCCTTTGACGCCACCCTTTCCAGGCTCAGCTCCTGTGATGGTAATGACTGCTCACTCCTCTCAGCGGCCCTGTGGGGAGGTGCTGTTAGGTCTGCTCCCTGTTTTACAGATGGGGAAAATGAGGCATAGAGAAATTAAAACACTTGCCCAAGGCCCATACCTGGTAAGAGGCAGGGTCAGGCTTGAGCCCAGGTCTGGGGTTCCTAAGACCACACTCAACCCTGGGGCCTTGGGAGCCAGTCCTAGAGGGAGTCTGGCTCTGCATAGCTCACTGCACTTTCTGGAGAGAAAGCCTGGCTTGTGACTGATGGTGGGGTCAGGGCAGTTTGGGGAGGGTGCCATGCCTGGGGAGTGCTAGGAAGTCTCTGGTTCAGTCTGGTTGCTGCCCTGGGCATTAGCTCTAGAGAGTCCTACCAGGTTCCCTCTTATCTGCAGATATCCCCTTCCATGGGAGACAGGGCACGTCTCAGCTGAGACCATGCACTGGTCTTAATCTTAGGCCATGCAGTGGTGCCACCATGGGCTAGCTCCTAGGAAGGTATGTAGAAAGGCCGTGGGTCCATGGCAGGGGGGCTCCTGGCTGTGCAGAGCCAGCTGGAGCTGGCACAGGGGTTAAGTGTGTGTGTGCAGCACGCACGCGTGTGAACCTGCAGCTGGTGCTGCTTCCCTCCCATGCCGAGGCCCTTGTGGATGGGGCTGTCATGTTGGTGGGGTCAGTATTGGCATTTGGTGAATGTAATCTGGGATTATGAAGTAAAGCCATGATAAACGATGTTTATTATATGACAGCATTTATTAAAGAAAGCTCGTTTGTGCTTGGGATGTGCTAGTCGTTTATTTCCACGATGCTCGGGCCCTTGTCCTGCCAGCCTGGAAGTCTTCATTGATTCCACCCCTATTGCTGCTGTCTCTCTCTAGCTTAAAAATGGATTAATTTCCCCTGGCTCAGAGCACACGCTCCACAACAGCACAGCTTCCTACCCTGTGCTGAGCCCTGGGTGTGTAGTGGCTCCCAGCCTGTCATTATTATCACTGTTGCTACTGACCAGCACGCCCTGGGCATGAGCTGTGTGCCTGGGCTCGATGGGCACGTCACAAAGCTGCAAAGCAGCTTGTGTTACCTTCGGCTTACTGAAGAAGATGATAAGGGTCAGAGAAGTCACTTGCTTGTGGTCATCCTGAGACTCAGCTTTCCCCCTGCTGGCTGGGGCAAAGAGTCTGGCTCTGCCCCACAGGAGCCTGGACATGAGGGATCTCACCCTGATTCCCTCCAGGAGCGTGGGAAGTGGCTCCTGGGCTGCGTGGGACCACCAGCCTCCCTATCTGGGCCCCAGGTACCCGGCTGTGCATGTATTTTCTCTGTTTAAGATTCTGAGTTGGTTGGTGTTTATGCCTGGAGAAATGGACAAGCTCTGGTGAGGATGCTGCTTGGGCCCCCTCCCATCCTCCCCAGGCTCCAGAGCAAGGCATTCTCAAGAGACCCGGCCCTTACTGTGGAATTAGGTACTGTGTGCCTCTGCCACGGGCCCTGTCCTGCTTTGCTGTGGCATCTGGGGGGGGTGGGCACAGGGAGGAAGTACCCAGTCTCCATGCCACCTGGAAGGGGGAGGTGTTAGAGCATTTCCCAGCAACTTGCCATACACCCTCCAATCTGTCATCAGCCAGGGACTCTGGCAAATAAGTGTTCCTAAAAGCCTAAGAAGAGAGTTTCTGAGCCAGGAGCAGTGGCTCATGCCTGTAATCTCAGCACTTGGGAGGCTGAGGCAGGTGGATTGCCTGAGCTCACAGGTTGAGACCAGCCTGAGCAAGAGCAAGACTCTGTCTCTAAAAAGTAGCTAGGCATTGTGGCAGCCGCCTGTAGTTCAGCTACTTAGGAGGCTGAGCCAAGAGAATCGCTTAAGCCCAAGTGTTTGAGGTTGCTGTGAGCTGTGACATCACAGCACTCTACCAGGGTGACAAAGTGAGACTGTCTCAAAAAAAAAAAAAAAAAAAGGAAAAGAAAAGAAGAAGAAGAGGGTTTCTGTCACTGAGGTGCTCCCTTATCAGGTCTTGGGCAGGGCCTGCCATCTAGGCCTTCTCCAGGGAGCAATGCAGGGCAAGAGCTGGCAAGGGCTCCCTGAGATACCTGCTGCCTCTCTGCACATGCTCAGTTACCGCGTGTCCAGAGTGGGCGGCTCCATGCCAGGTGCCTGGCACAGCCTTGCTATTCATACATGGCACTCAGAGGGCCTCCCCAGCACCCCATGGCCACCCCTCTGGGTGGGAGAGCTGGCTTGGCTCTTCTCTTCCCTCTGGCAGCCCCTGATGCCCCATGGCTGCCTGTCTTTGCAGGGGACAGCAGGAAAGCTGTGGCTGCCAACCGCTCGCCTGTCCGTGCCCAGCCACCCTGTCCTGTCTCTGCCAGCAGCAACCTGCAGATGTCTGAGAACACACCCAGCCTGGCTTCATGTGACCAGCCAGTGACAATCCACACCGCTATGGCCATCCTACGAGACCTCCGCCAACAAATTCAGGCTGGGCTAGAGCGGGCCCGGGGCCCCAAGGGAGCACGGGAGCATGGGCGGTGGAAGGCAAGCTCGCAGGATGTGGCTTGGAAGGCTTCGCAGGGTCCCCAGAGTGCCCCAGAGTCACAGAGCTCCTTCAGCAAGAGTCTTTGGAACATGACAGAGGCGAAGCCTTCCTCTCTAGAGAGGGCTAAGAGCCTGGGCTCCTGGCAGTCCTGGAGTTCATCGGCCAAGTGGGCATCCAGTTCGCAGACAGCCTGGGCAGCCCCAGGACAGAACCCCTCCTCCCGGAGACCTGGCGTCTCAAAGCAATCTTGGAGCGCATCAGCTGGGCAGGTCTCTAGTGCACAGAGGTCCTGGGTGTCCCCAGGACAGAACCCCTCCTCCTGGAGACCTGGCCTCTCAAAGCAATCTTGGAGCACATCAGCTGGGCAGGCCTCTAGTACACAGAGGTCCTGGGCGTCCCCAGGACAGAACCCCTCCTTTCAGAGATCTGAGAGCCCTTCTGAGAGGTTGGGGTCCTCTCAGCAACCCTGGAGAGTTTCGGCTGAACCGCCTTCCTGTCCGCAGAGGGTCTGGACACCCCCAGGATGCCATCCCTCCTTCCAAAGGCCTGGGAGCCCCCAGCGGCCCTGGAGTGCCTCTGCGGGGCAGGCCTGTCCTCAGAGGACCTGGGCATCTTTCGAAGACTGGGAGGCCCTGGGCCCCAGACCGTGGAGCCCTCTGGAAAGGCCGAACCCTCGTGCCCAGCATTCCTGGAGCACCTCCTTCACACAGAGGGCTGGAGCCCCATGCAGGGGCAGAAGCGCCAACTCCCCTCCCTTGGGAGCCAGGCCTGCCTGGACAAGGCCCTCCCAGAGTGTCCCACAGCACCCACTTGGAAAGAAGGACGGGCCGAGGCCCCGAGGGTTCCTGGGACACCAGCACAGCTCTGAGTCCTTGCGAGAGTTCATGAGGCAAAAGGCACAAGCGCGGAGGCGGCAGGCCCAGGAGGAGAAGGCCTTGGCTGCGCGGGTGCAGGAGCAGAGGAAACAGAGGCTGCAGGAGGTCTACAAGAAGCAGAGGGAGGCTGTCCTGGGCAAAGCCGTCCGTGTGGTTTCCCAGACCACCCCTGGCATCGTGACCTTTGTTCCCAGTTCTGCACAGTCTGGGGTACGTACCAGGGTAGGTGAGAGTGGGGCGTTCAGGACAGGCTGGGGCTCCTGGCTGCTGTCCCACCCCGGTGTCCCCTGGGAGTGGGTGGATGGGGTGCAGCTGCGCTAGGGGCTGTGATGGCCCTGGGTCCAGGCAGCCTGTTATGAAGTCATTTTAGACTTCCCATTTAGACTTTAGACTGTGACACTTCCCCTTAGGGGAGATCCCAGCTAGGGGCAAGGCTCAGACATTGGGCACCTTTGTCCCTGGGGGCAGCTCCCGCACAGCTCGCTTTCCTTTGACAGGGGGTCCCTGAATGCTCTGGAGGGACCTCATTACCTGTGTCACAGCCCCTCACGTGGGGACCCCCAGTTCCAGCAAGGCTCTGAGGAATCAGCCTGAGACTCCCAGTGGAAGCCAGGGCCCAGCTCCAAGACAGAGAGATGGGGGCTCTTCTGGGGTCTTTTGGCCGAGGGGTTCTCACTGCTTCCTCCTCTACTTCAGAGCCTGGAGTCAGTGGTGCCGGAGTGGAGCAAGGTGACATCCGGCATGGTGCTGGGAGACCAGGAGACCCCAAGCAGGTGGGTATGAAGGTGCAGGGGCTGCCCACACTGCCCGTGGCAAGGTGAGCCCCCTACGCTGTGCTGAGCAGGTGTCACGGATTTGTTTTCACTGAGGCAAGAATCACATTCAACTTAACCACTTGGTTTATTTGTTTTTCCTTGTTTTTTTGGTGAGTTTTCTATTCTTTCGGTGCCCTGTGATGTTATGAACTTAACTATTTTAAAGAACACAATTCAGTGGTATTTGGTAATTCACATTATTATGCAGTTGCCCCTCAATCTAGTTCCAGAACATTCTGGCGGACCCTGTTGCTCGGTCGCCCTCTCTCCAGCCTCTGGACACCACCCCCTTCCTTCTGTCCAATTGGCCTGTTGCTGACGTTTCACGTGCCCGGGGTCCGAGGGTCTGGGTCTGTCCCCTCACTGAGCGTCCCTGTCATACACGTGCCTCTTGTCAGTTTCCTTCCTTTTATGGCTGAACGATGTCCGGTTCTATGGAGAGGCCACGTGTGGTTCATTTGATCATGTGCTGATGGACATGGCTGTTCCCAGCTCTTGGCTACTTGGGTAATGCTGCTGTGAATACGGTGTTCTTATCTCTCTTGGGCACACTCCTGGGAATGGAGCGACTCCATGTGATTGTGTGAGGCACCTCCCATGGTCTTCGACAACAGCCACAGCCTTGACATTCCCACTAGCCGTGGACAGAATTCCAGTTTCCCCACATCCTTGTCAACACCTTTTCCAGTTCTCTTTGTCTCTGTCTTGTTTTGTCTTGATGACCACATGTTTGAATTGAACCAGGCCCTCACCTTGAAGCTTGTGGGAGTCTAGAGAACTCTCGACATTTTGCTAGAGGAGCTGAGCATGGGCCCTTCTAGGGGCTTGTGTTTCTAGCGCTCACTCCCACCTGGGAAGGGCTCCGTGGAATGCCACAGTGGGCCTCAGACTGGTGGCAGGTGCTCCCTGGCTGGGCCCCATTCCTGCCATCTGCCATGGAGCTCACAGCCAGGCCTCCTGCACAAGCTGGCTCAGAAGTGGGATGGTGGCTCTTACCTGCCATGAGCATCCTGCTCTGAGCTCCCCCAGGACAGCACAGCTCCCTTGGTGCAATTGAATAGCTGATGCTAGGAGAGAGGCCTCGGCCCCCCACTTTGCAGGACCCCCCTTCCCTGACACCTGGCTCCTCTCTCTGGCCCCAGCTCATTCCATTTTGTCTTGACAGTGCTTATTCCTGGACCGCCCAAGCCTTGGAGTCTGCATTTGTAAACCTCAGTGAGAGTATACTCCGGCCCTGAATGTGCCTGAGGGGGCGTCCACACCCTGAGCACACTCGCAACCCCCACCCACACCAAGGCTCTCTCCCCCAAAGGCAGCTCCCCCACCCTGGCTGGCTCCTTAGCTCACAGCTGCCGCCGAGGTTTGTTCTCACCCTTACAAGAAGCTGTGGGTCTTTCATTTCACCTCATCTCACCTTTTCTTTTCTTTTCCACCTAAAAAACTGTGCTATATACCTGTAACACAAAGCTTACCACCTTTGCCATTTTTAGGTGTATGATCAGTGGTATTAAATACATTTACAGTGGGCGCAACCACTCTCCTCTCCAGAGCTTCCCATCTCCCAAACTGACACTCTGTTCCCATGAGACGCTGACTCCCCAGCCCCATCCCCAGCTCCAGCACCTGCCTTTCTATTAAACTTCCCCTGCGACGGGTCTGACAACTCTGGGGACCTTGTCAGAGTGGGGTCACCCAGGATTTGCCTTTTGTGTCTGTTTTTTCTTTCTTTCTTTTTTTTTTTTTTTTCCCAGGTTTTGGCCGGGGCTGGGTTTGAACCCACCGCCTCTGGCATATGGGGCCAGCACCCTACTCCTTTGAGCCACAGG